ATCTGAAAGTGTATTCATATGATGCAAGTGTGTATCATTTTGTCATCAGAGTGACATTTTGACAAAGGATTGTTAGGTTTTGATAGCAGAGTTTCAATTTGACATAGATGTGAATGGTTTATTTCCCAGTGTTGTGTGTTATTTGCTTGTGTGTAGAGTTTTGACACAATGAGCCAAATTTAGCAAAACGTGTGTAAGCAATAGGCAAAAACTGTAATAAAGACTTGGACTCTTAATAAAAGCTGAATATGAACAATATGCATATCATACGAGCTCAGACTCGCATCTACTCTCTATCAAGCTCATATTTCTCATCTCTGTGTTTGGCTAAAGAATAAAAACATCTGTAGAGGACCCGTGAGGCTCTAGAACAGGCAGTTCATGCACCGGACGGCTTTGCTGCCGTAGTCGAGGCACTCGGGGCCGATGCACTCGCAGCAAGCGTTGTGGAACCAGCGGTACTTCGATCACCCCATCGACTCGCAGTACTGCTTACACTGACGGATGGACACGCAGTCGTCCAAGTACACCACCGTACACAGCTCATCTGCACAGAGACGGACACAAGCAGACATGGATCTCATCAGCGTCTAAGTGTTTCTGAGCTGAACACATCCTAAACAAAACCAGACAGAAAACATTACAAACTCGAGGCTGAAGAAGAAAAAAAAGGTTTAGAAGTTTCTACGTTTGTTTGTAATTTTGCACGAAATAGAAATGGAGCAAGGTTAAAAAAAAAAAAAGTAAATCTAAAGCCTCACTTCATGAAAAAGAAAATCGTATAAATCAACGGAATAAAAAATCTTGCGTAACGGAGGATCTTCTGGAGAGTCTATGGTAACTCGTTTAAAGTCAATGTTCATCAGTTGTTTAGAGTCCAGATTTTAGGTCTATTAATAACAATAAACATATTCACAATTTTAAACGACTCATTTCTCCTGATAATTCATTATTACACTACTGCTCAAAGGTTTGGGATAATTACAAAATTTGTTTATGTTTTTGAAGAAGTCCAAGCCTGCATTTATTTGATCAGAAATACAGTAAAAATATGAAATATTATTCTAATTTCAAACAGCTGTTTTCTATGTGAATCTCTGTTCAACTGTAATGTATTTCTGTGATGCGCAGCTGTATTTTCAGCATCATTACTCCAGTCTTCAGTGTCACATGATCTTCAGAAATCATTCTAATATGCTGATTTGCTGCTCGAGAAACATTTCTGATTATTATCAATGTTGAAAACAGTTGTGCTGCACAAAAGTTTGGAGTAAGTACATTAACACTTTTATTAATCAAGGACGCATTAAAGTAATCAAAAGTGACAGTAAAGACATTTATAATGTTACAAAAGATTTCTATTTCAAATAAATGCTGTTCTTCTGAACTTTCTGTTCATCTGTGAATCCTGAAAAATAGAATGCATCACGGTTTCCACAAAAATATTGTGCAGCACGACTGTTTTCAACATTGATAATAATCAGAAATGTTTCTTGAGCAGCAAATCAGCATATTAGAATGATTTCTGAAGATCATGTGACACTGAAGACTGGAGTAATGATGCTGAAAATTTAGCTATGTATGATCACAGGAATAAATTACATTTTAACAGATATTCACATAGAGAACTATTGTTTTACATTCTAATAATATTTCACATTTTTACTGTATTTGTTAACAAATAAACACAGCCTTGCTGAGCAGAAGAGACTCTTCCAGAAACATTAATCATCATAATTACTCCAGAGTTTGAGCTCTACTGTAAGTGTGTAAATGAAGGCTGGATTAGCGCTGAAGCTCACCTTGCGTGTCGTAGCTGGCGTGGATGCTGTTGCCGGGCAGAGAGACGTTGTGGTGCGCGTCCTCCAGCGTCTCCAGGAAGGACAGCAGGTTCTGCTGATAGGACAGCTCTTCAGCCGCAGGGAAGGACACCACCATCATGTTGATGGGAGCGTCTCCGTCGGTCAGCGCTCTGAAGAGCGAGGGGATCGGCCGCTGCAGCTCCTCCACCGTGCTCTTAGCCGTCGCCGGCGTGTCGCTCAAGTTCTTGGGGTTACACATGCCTGACAACAACAGCTCTCAACACACGTCATGATCAACAGCATGTGTCACCACTTTCTGAAGAGTTCAGACAAAATAACAGCTTGAGACGTCAACCTGAGTGAAGAAGTGAAGATCAAAGTGAAGAAAATCTACTACTGTACTGTGAAATCATTTATATACTTATTTCTATTTTACAGTGTAGTTATAATAGTATTTTTTTGTCTTAGAAATAATAATACAGGGTTCCCACACCTTGGTTAAGTTAAAATTCAAGGACTTTCTAACGTACATCAAGCAAGCTAGTATGCATACGCCACGAAGTGTTGGTGAAATAACACATTAGCGGACCGGAGGGAATAATATGAAATTTTTTCCCAGAAAACTTCTTGCACAAAATAAATTCAAACACTTTCAAGGACCTGTATCTATGTACGTTTATTTTCAAAAACTTTCCAGGGCCTTGACATTTTTTTTTCAGATTCACAAACTTTCAAGGATTTCAAGGACCCGTGGGAACCCTGATAATAATAATAATAATAATACATAAATAAATCAGATGGTAATATTAGAAATTGTTTTTAAGTAAGTTAATTTTATTGTTTAATAAAAATGTTCTAGTATTATGTAAATACAACAGTTTTTGTATATACAAAAAAGGTTCAATAAAAACTGAATTTAAAAAAATCATTAAAATAAATAAATCTGCTGTGTCTCGTTGCTCTTTATTGCCTGCATTCAGCGCATCTGTGACGTGAGAGTCTCGACGCGGCGGATGGAGGCTGATCTTGTTCTGTGATGTGTGTGTGTGTGAGTGTGAGTGTGAGTGTGAGTGTGAGTGTGTGTGTGTGTGTGTGTGAGAGTGAGTGTGTG